GGAGAGAGAGATAGTTACATGTCGATGCTAGAGAGTTTATGCGGTGCGGGTAAAACAGTTGAAGCCATAGAGATGTTGAGCAAGATTCATGAGAAAGGTGTGATTACAGATACTATGATGTACAACACTGTCTTCTCTGCGCTTGGGAAGCAAAAGCAAGTATCTCATATTCATGATCTATTTGAAAAAATGAAAAAGGATGGTCCCTCTCCAGACATATTCACGTACAATATACTCATCTCCAGTTTCGGTCGTGTAGGAGAAGTTGATGAGGCTATCAAAATCTTCGAGGAGCTAGAGAGTAGTGACTGTAAACCGGACATTGTTTCTTACAACTCTTTGATTAATTCTTTGGGGAAGAACGGTGATGTTGATGAAGCTCACGTGAGGTTCAAGGAGATGCAGGAGAAAGGATTAAACCCTGATGTGGTCACATACAGCACTCTAATGGAATGTTTTGGAAAGACAGAGAGAGTTGAAATGGCGTATAGATTGTTTGAAGAGATGCTTGTTAAAGGGTGTCAGCCGAACATTGTGACATACAACATATTGCTTGATTGTCTAGAGAAGAGTGGGAGAACCGCGGAAGCAGTTGATCTGTACACAAGGATGAAGCAGCAAGGACTCACACCTGATTCAATTACTTACAGTGTTCTTGAACGGTTGCAGTCTGGCTCTCATGGAAAGTCACGGATACGTAGGAAGAATCCGATAACAGGTTGGGTGGTCAGTCCTATGTAGTCACGTGAAGCAGTGAAACGAGGTTTTGAGAATGATACTTGGCTGAGGAATGAAAACTCCAAGATTCTTGAGGCTTTTTTCAGTGAACTCTGTACAAACACAGTCTTCTCCGTATTATGATGATAAAGTTAGAGCAAATACCTGAAGCTCAAAGATTTTGATTCATGATAGATTAGAGGATACATTTATGTTCGAACGGTTTGCTTATTGCATCACATAGTTCTTTAATGTATTGGTTTCTCATTGTTTGCTCCTTGTTGAATTAGTAGAGCTGGAAGTTCAGAATAAGATTATGTACCTAGATTGATCAAGAATGTGTTTCATAGTCTTATTGAGAGATTATAACCATTATAGTACCCAAAACCTCGACTACAAATTCTGTTTTATTGATCCATTTGTAGTTTTTCATTGTTCTTTGGGTTATAGTGATTAAAACCTCCAACTATTTTTACATCGGATAAAAAACCTCCAACTAAAAATTTATATTTTTAAACCTCCAACTATTGAACCGTTAATGCCGTTAACTTTCCGTTATCAAAATCGTTTTTTCTTAACGGAGACCCGTTAAATCGAAACACCGCGTTTCATGTAATTTCAAAAACGACATAAGGTTCTTACTATCAATATATATTTTAGTGATTTAAACCTCCAACTATTTTTAAATCGGATAGAAAACCCCTAACAAATTTTTTTATATTTTTAAACCCTCAACTATTAAACCTTTAATGTTTTTAACCCTCTGTAAATAAAGTCATATTTTCTGAACAGGAAACCTTAAATTGAAACACAGAGTTTCATGTAATCATATAAACAACATGAAATGTTTAAACCCCCTATATCAATGAGCAATGATAATCACAATTCATCCTCAAATAAAAAAAAATGAATAGGAGAGAAATAATTAGGGTTGATTGCATACTGTTAAGGTGGATGTGCTTCCAACCTAAAACCAATTGGTGATAAGTGGAGTGGCCCATCTATCATATATACTAGATATAATCTCTTGCAACTTCTGATGTGAGACCTTTGTCCCTAATACGTCCCCTCGAGATGATGGCTCTTTGGCGTCAATCTCGGAATGTTCGGACAAAGACCGATGAGCCGAATTTGGGCTGGATCGATAAGGATCGGGTTGGACTTTGTGGATCATGGACTCTGATACCATGTTAAGGTAGATGGGCTTCCAATCTAAAACCGATTGGTAATAAGTGGAGTAGCCCATATATCTTATATATTGCTTATAATCTCTTCCAACAACCGATGTGCAACCTTTGTCCCTAATACGCCTCTCGAGATGATGGCTCTTTGAGCGTCAATTTCGGAATGTTTGGGCAATGATCGCTGGGCCACTAAGATAAAATAGAGTAAAATAAATAGGTGAAAGACAGAAGAAAATAAAAAGTGGAAAACAATACAAAAGCCAGCACAACACATATTTCTCTGCATAAACCAAGAGAGAAAAATGAAACAATTTACTATGTTTCAACAGTAACTAGCGAGAACGCAAATTGAAATTTTTTCACCTGATTGGCTAAATATTAGCTGGAGTCAAAGTAAATATGTTATACACTTAAAATATATCGTCAGAAGTGCCATACAATCATAGCCTAAAATTAGAAACAATAGAATTTTTGGACTTACCTCCCCTTCGATGAAAAAGAAAAAGAAATTTAATTTTTTTATTTAAGGATGAATTGTGATTGTCATTGCCCATTGATATAGGGGGTTTAAACATTTTATATCGTTTATATGAACATGAAACTCTGTGTTTCAATTTAACGGTTTCTCATTCAGAAAATATGACTTTGTTTACTAAGGGTTAAAAGCAACAGGGTTTAAAAATTTAATAGTTGAGGGTTTAAAAATATAAAATTTTATGTTGGGGGTTTTCTATCCGATTTAAAAATAGTTGGAGGTTTAAATCACTAAAATATATATTAATAGTAAGAACCTTATGTCGTTTTTGAAATTACATGAAACGCGGTGTTTCGACTTAATGGGTCTCCGTTAAGAAAAAACGATTTTGATAACAGAAGGTTAACTGCATTAACGGTTTAATAGTTGGAGGTTTAAAAACATAAAATTTTAGTTGGAGGTTTTTTATCCGATTTAAAAATAGTTGGAGGTTTTAATCACTATAAACCCTTGTTCTTTTAATCTTCAGGATTTATGCAAAAGGGTACAAGAAAATATTATTTTGTGATTTAAAAACAAATTTTGAAAATTATAATCCTAAATTTGCATCAGGACATTGAAAATTCACTGCTAAGTTCTTAAGAGGAAAAAAAAGTTTTACAGAATCATGTAGCTAGAACAAGAATAGCGTTGTTGCTGCTGTTGCAGCAAACTCTCACCGCTACCGCGATTTTTGGAGACTATAATCTCATCTAGCGACAACCGGTTCCTCTCAGAAAGCCGATGAGGTGCGCTATGCGAACGCTGCTTCGCGTTAAATGACTGCGTGTTCTCCATATAGCCAGGACCAGGAGTGGTCAGTCCATAGCCAGAGTGAGCATTTCCACTGACACTTTTACTAGGAGACCGCATTACATAGTAGCGATTATTATTAGCCGTGTGGTGGTGAGATGAAGATGTTAATCTCGGTGTTGTTGCAAATTTCGATGAAGATGACAATCGCGGCGTGTTTTTCGGAGTCCCAAACTTCCACTTCTTCTTTGGTAAGTTCAACTCCAAATCACTCCCTCAGTAAACAAAACCGTCTTCATATTCAGACATTGCGACAACATTGTGCCTTTGCTTAGGTTTAGGTTTCCTCTTAAACATGTAATCAAACTCCACAATCTTTTGATGTCTCTCTTCATGCACCACTTCATCGAACTTACAATATCAGAATCAGACAAAACACTGTCTTGGTTTTGGCTTAAAGAACAAGAAGGCGATAGAAGTAGTGATAAAGTGGTTCCTTACAAAGGAGTGTCGTGGTTGAAACATGTTGTTGTACTCTTTCTTGTGGTAGCGATTGCGTTTAGATCGCATAGCGGTTTGGACTCTAATCATAGCTTGTATGCTATGCAGCATCGCAGCCGCACGTTTCCTCACTAAGTATCCTCTCACTAGAGCTTGTAGCTTCACTATACCTTTCAAAGCTCGTAATGCTTTCCTCGCCTAACCATTAAAACAAAATCTCAAATAAACAATTGTTCTCTAATCCAAGATTCGAATTCGTCGGATCCGTCATTTTAATATCCGGATTCGGATTCGTGTCTTCCGGATATCCGGGTTCCGGATCTCTGTCTAGATATTGTGATATCCGCGGATTTTCGGATTCGATCCATAAAAATAATTATTATTTTTTTTAAAAAAATCAAAAATTCTAAAAAATACATAAACTAAATATTTAAGTATAATTATGAATATATATGTGACATAATATTATTAATATAAAATTAGAATATTATTAAACTTATTTATGTATAAATATTAATATATCAGATATAAGTAATAATAAAATAAAAAAATTAATATATTTTTTAACATACAGATCCGAATCCGGATATCTGGACCTAAAAATTAAGATATCTAGATCCGGATTCGGTTTGCACAGATCCGAAATTTTACCATCCGGATATCCTAATTTCGGAGCGGATCCGGAGCGGATCTCGGATCGAATCTGGATCCCGGATAAAAATCAGTCCTAATTCGAACGTTAATAAATCTTTGGAAAGAATTTACCAAAGAGCCCCTGAAGACTTTTTTGGATTTTAACAGCGGCCCAAAGTTCCTCCCTCGTGATGATATCTCCCGCTCTTCCTTCACCGGTCAGTCTAACCATTTCTGCAGACACTTTAGCCACAGAAACTGCTTCTGCTGCGGTTGCAACAGCATTCATGTTCTTGTTTTGTTCCTTCTCTTTATCCGTCAGGAAAGGTCTCAAACAAACAGTGTCCGTCGGGAGATTACAGTAACCGCCTCTGTAGGAACCATATCCGGAAGTGAGTCTCTTCTTAGTGCCAAACAATCCTTTCAACCATCTCACTGCTCCACCCATCTCGATATGGTAAGAACCAAAACCAACTTTATTTCTTGTAACCTGTGATGTGACTTTTTAGAAATATATTTTTTTTTTTGAATATTTGTAAAATTTATTCAAAGAAAACTAACTTTGGTACATCACGTGTAGCTGTTTAGACCTTACTGACTTTTACAAGAATAGAAGATCAAAAATGTTTGAAAACAGAGTTTATGCCCTTGAAGCGAACCAGTTTTGCAGCAGAGCTTCATAATTCCTGTGACCCGTAGCTGATACCGTGAGGCACCAGTTACGAATATGCCTGTCAATCATCTTGACTAGCGAGGTGGGGGTCATAGGCGTTACACCATGACATCGATCGTTTCTCTCCCTCCATATGGAATGAACCGAGACCTGCAAGGTGTATCGCAGCAAAGATCTCGCTTTCATGTCCAGTGTCGAGTCCGTTACTAGGTGGAGTAGCTCACACCTAGTCGTGGTGTAGTGGGAACGTAGCAGCCCTTTTGTTAAGAGGAACCACACCTCCGCCGAGAACACACAGTCGAAAAAAATGTGATCACGAGTTTCTGTCACTTGATTGCAGAAGATGCATAAAGAATTGATACCACTATTCCAAGCAGCCATACGATCACCCGTAGTTAGTCTATTGTGAGTAGCCAGCCAGGTGCAAAAAGCATATTTTGGGGTTGCGTGTTGAAACCAAATTCCTCAGTGCCATTGGACCTGAGGATGTACTTGTCGTATGAGATTCCATGTTTTTTTGGTATTGAACTCTGGCCGGTAGGTAGCTTCACTCTGTTTCCATAACGAGACATCTGCTTTGTCTGTCATTCTGTGTCTTTGGTTCTCCAGAGCCGTCTCAAACAAGTTGTAGAGATCAACCCGGTGGGTTCGTTTTCGTCGTGCTACAGCAGACGCTACTGAAGCCGTAGCTCGTATGCCCATCTCAATACAGCCCCGTGGTCCTACCAGATCAATTAAACATCCCATGTCTGTCCAAGTATCATACCAAAATGAAGTTGATAGTCCATTTTGAACATTCATCCTGTGGAGAGCCTTTACTTTGTCTCTATACTTCAACAATTTGCGCCACATCCAAGACCCCAAAGATGTATCGTCCTTCACAGTCCAAAAGTTTCCATTCCGGAACAAATGTTCTCGGACCCACTGAACCCAAAGTGAAGACTTTTGTGATATCAAGCGCCACACAAGTTTTAAACAGCTGACCATGTTTGCTTCTTTTAAAGGACGTAATCCCAGTCCCCCTTCTCTCTTTGGTGTGCAAACTACCTCCCATGATATCTTAGACTTCCTAGGATTCAGAGTAGGGCCTGACCACAAGAAAGCAGAGCAGAGGCGGTCAATTTCCTTGAGACAATCTCCTGGTAGGCGAAAAGAGGACATCCAAAAGTTGGTTATGCTCATAAGAACCGAGCAAATTAGCTGAAAACGACCAGCCATTGATAAGAAACGATTAGTCCATAGATTAATACGGTTTCTTATCAGCTCGAGCAGGGGTTGATAATCTTGAGTTCCCATCCGTTTAGTAAGAAGAGGAAGTCCCAGATAACGGACAGGGAGTTCACCCGCTTCAAACTTGTACTGTGATTGAACAGCTTGGCGGGTAGAAACCTGCACACCAGCATAATAGATGGTCGATTTCTCCATGCTGATATGAAGGCCTGATATTGTTGCAAATTGATCAAATACTGCAACTATGCTGTCTATAGAGTGAATACTCCCGTCCGTAAAAATCAGAATATCGTCGGCAAAACTCAGATGGGTCAATCCAAGATTCTTACAATGGAAACCAATTTTTCGATCCAAAGCTGCATTATCGAGGAGTTTTGAAAGAACATTCATGCTGATGAAAAATAGATAAGGAGAGAGAGCACAGCCTTGCCGTAATCCTCTTTCACTTTTGAAAAACCCCGCAAGTTCTCCATTCACCTGAACTGAGAAAGAAGCTGTAGTGACACACAGTGAAATCCAATGAATGAACTTCGTAGGGAAACGCATAGCCTCAAGAGTATTAAGAAGAAATGTCCACTGCACGGAATCAAAAGCTTTTGAGATATCAATCTTGAGCACACATCTCTGAGAGATCGAATCCTTGTGGTAATCTGTAACCAGTTCTGTCGCTAGGAGTAAATTTTCAATAAGTAACCTGTCCTTAACAAAAGCAGATTGGCTGAGGCTGATGAAATCTGGTAAGGTTTCTTTCAGTCGATTAGCGATAATCTTTGAAATAACTTTATAGATCACATTGCAGCATGAGATCGGTCGGTAGTCCTTCATGTGGCGAGCCTCAAGCTTCTTAGGAATTAGGGCCAGAATTGTTGTGTTCACTCCTTTGGGAAGAAACCCCTTGACGAAAAAAGACTGAATGGCAGTGGTGAATTCAGTACCAATAATCTCCTAAGCCGCTTTGAAGAACTCTGCTGTGTACCCATCAGGTCCCGGAGATTTATCATTTGGCATTGCAAACAATACTTTTCGAATCTCCTCTGCAGTTACCTCTTTTGTCAGTCGTGTCTGTTCCGTATCACTACATCGATAAGGTAACAACTGGCTCAAATCCTCCACTGTAATTCCAGAATAATCATGTGGCCTATGCTGCAGAAACTCACGGAAGAAGCGCTCTGCTTCATTTTTAATATCTTCTGCATTTGATAGGATAGTACCATCATCACATTGAACCTCTTTTATAGTGTTCCTAATCTCCCGGATTGTGGCAGCTCGATGAAAAGATTTATTATTCTTATCTCCCTTTTTCAGCCAATGCATTTTCGATTTTTGCTTCAAAAAACTCTCCTCCAAATCAGATACTAGATCCCATCTTTTATAAGCCTCATTCTCAGCCTCCATATTCTGCTGAGTTGGATTTTCCATATTCACATTCTGCTTATCGCAGAGAATGGCAAGAGCTTCCTTGGACTTCTTTATCAGGTTTCCGAGTCCCTCCTTTGCTAATTCTCGTATTACTGGTTTTAAGCCTTTGAGTTTCTTTGAGAAACGGAAAAGTGATGAAGTTGATAGATGAATGGGCTCTGTGTCTCTCCAGAACTGATCAACAACTGGCTTAAAACCTTCCAAGCTCGCAGTTGCATTAACAAACTTGAACGGACGTTTGGGGCGTGGAACTTCAGAGTGTAACTGGATTCGACAGCGAAGGTGATCAGAGCATCCACCTCCTTCGAAGACATTGTACGAATGCCTGAACATACCCAGCCAGTAATCATTGAACAAGACTCGGTCTAGCTTCTTGGATATCTGACCCTCATCATGTTTGTTACTCCATGTAAATAACGGACCATGCGAGGCTAAGTCCATAAGGGAGCAGTATTGAGTAACCTCTTGGAAGTCTTTCATTCCCTGAGTTACACTTGGCGAGTTATGATAGGAGGAATGTTCCTCCATAGCCAGCGTCTCGTTAAAATCTCCAGCCACAAGCCATGCTTTATTTCGAACAATAGGAGAGTCTTGGTGAGCTTTAAGATCTCTCCATAACTCTATACGCTCTGTATTTGTATTATGAGCATAGACGATTGAGAAAAAGAACTCCTCTTCTCCCGTGTCTAGCTGTACTGAAACCGTGATCAGTTGATCACTCTTAAAAAATGGAGTAACACGCACGTCAGATCGCCACACCAACCAAATCCTACCCAACGCGTTGTACTCATAATTTGATAACATCGACCAGTCTGAGAAGACTTTTGATGCAATTATGTTACTTCTACCTTCTTTCACTGTAGTTTCAAGTAAGGCGCCAAAACTAAATCCTTTCTCCATAACCCATTTCTTCACAATGGAATGCTTTTTTGATTTGTTGAAACCACGAACATTCCAGAAGAAACCCGACATATAATTGTTTTCTTTGGTTACGTTTTCTACCCGCAGCACGAGGAAGAGTTTCCTTAGTGCTTTGAGCAAAAAATTCTGCTGAATTCCTGTTTATTCCTTTTGATGCTCTGTTAGAGGTTCTCCGTATACTTTGCCCTTCCATGGCTTGAGTATCCTCTTGATTAAGCGATTCTGTACAGGTGGAAGGAGGCTCAACGATCTCTCCCTCCTCGCTCTCACCATCTTCATTTTGAGAGTATGATTCTTCCACCTCCTTTGCAGGATCATCATTTGTTTTTTTAGGACTTGTTTCCTCCTCTATCTCCTCAGGTTCGTCACTTAAAATAGCAAACCGAGATGGAGAGCCAACAATATGGGTTTCCACTGACTTGGTAGCCGACCTACCCATCTTTGATGGAGAAACACCTGACCAACTTAATTCTTCAGAAGCGCAAGGGGCACTTCCCTTCTCTGTTTTGCCTCCATCAGTACTTACCAGGTCAGTACTAACCTCTGCGCCATTGCTTTCCAGATCTCCTTGAGCGCTACCAGGACCTGGCTTTTCCACATGAACAACAGTAGCATCATTATTCTTCTCAGGGCTTGCGGAGACCTCCATTGTATTCACTGCAGCGTCAGCCGCATTATTCTCAGCAGCAGTGTCACTTTTGCCTGGCGTAGCATCATTTATACTGGGCTTATTCTTCTGCATTGTCTTTCCTTGTTTTTCCTTCTTTCCACAATCCGTTTCCTCATGACCCCATTTCGAGCAAAGCTTGCACTTACTTGGTAACCACGGGTATTCAAATTGAACATCAGCATCCACTCCCAGCTTAGACTTGAAGTGATGAGATGTAGGCAATTCTTTCGTCATGTCAGCCTCTACAAACACTTTTGCTTCAACAAAACTTTTACGTAACAGTGTGTCCGGGTGGAGCCGTTTTGGGTGGCCTACCGCACTTGCGATGAACCCTAAACCGTCCCATGAGAACATCTGTCTTGGAACATTCTTCATTATTATCCACATGGGGATGACCTTAATCTCCTCTTCTTCCTCTTGCTCCTCTTCTGGAGCCCATTTAGAGACAACCATTGGGATGTTTGCGATATTCCACATCCCTCTTCGTAGGATACGGCTTCTGGTATTTTCATCTTTGATACGGAACTTGACAGTT